GATATCCTGAATATCCTTGTGTTGTGAGGGTTTGTATGTTAGGGTCGTTTTATGGATATACTTTAGGGACATTTTTATAACGATTCAAGGATATTCTAACCCATAAGATAATATAGACATACTGTGGATATCCTTAGGACGTCCTAAGGACATCCCTAATTATTCCAGGGATATCCTTAGGACGTCCTGAGGATATCCTTGGGACGTTCTATGGATATCCACAGGATATCCTAATAATATCCGGGGAAATAATTAGGATATCCCTAGGACGTCCTAGGGACATCCTTAGATATCCCTGGGATATCCTAACCGCCGCTACTTTGTATATCCTTTAGATATCCTTAAAGTATCCTTTGGATATCCTTAAAGTATCCTTAGGATATCCCTGGGGTATCCCTAGGATAGCCAAGGGATGTTTTTGGAATATTCTAGGATATCTGGTGCTGTGAGGGTATTGAATTTTTTTAATGTAATGAAAACTTAAACATAAATTTTTTGTATTGAGAGTTAATTCTCTGTGAGTAATTTCACTTCAAAAATCGCTGAGATGCAATTGCAAATTTTCGAATTGAAAATACGCAAAAAAAATCAACTGTTAATGCAAAAGTCAATTTGAGTCTTTATTACATAGGAAAAATTTATTAAAATTTATTTTTAAATTTACCTAATTGGAAACTTTTTATCAAGGTAAAAATATCGTAGAACATAACATAAAATTTCTTTGCCTTAAGGTCCTTTCTCTCGGGGAGCGTCACTTTTTATATATATATATATATATATATATATATATATATAAGAAACAAATCATTAACGACTGTTGAATGCCACCTCGATAATCTGAAATGTGCACTTCGAGTCCATTTTTGTCGTTTGTGAACACGCGCCACACCCTGTAAATGGGTGTTTAAAGAAGTTCATCATCCTTGGAAGGTAATGTCGAGGTCGAGTTTGATGCTGCCAGTTTCCAGTGAACTAAAACTAAACGATCTTTTGCGGGATAAAAGAAGAGATGCGACAGAGAGAGAAAGAGAGAGAGAGAGAAAGAGAGAGAGAGAGAAGGAAAGAGGGGTTAGAAGACGACGACGACGATGACCACTAGTTGCAAAGCGAGAATGGCCAACTTGAGATGGTACGACCTTATAAGACATCCTGTCGGACATGGACATGCATAAAAGCTGATACAAGTAGATATGGAAAGGTAGCTCGCTACCCAGGCACGAGCCTTCATCCATGTATCTGCACCTGGTCTCACCTGGCCGTATGACTCGCTTCCCCGAACTCTACTTGCCATCGTCATAACACGTTCTGCTTCGATAGAAATCATTTCCTATAGGGTATATAACCTGCGTGCCAATAACCATTCTCGTTTGATTAAATGAGATTTCTGCTCGGTTATATATATATATATATATATTGATCTGAGATTTTTTTATTCCCAATTTTATTTTACAATAAAAATTATAAATATCTAATTTAATATGATTATAATGTTCGAAAGTGTTTTTTCAATTTTTATTTTAAATTAAATTTAAACTCGATAAGAGTTTACACGCAGAAAATTGAAAGGTATTAAAATAAAGCTGCAATGCCTATAATTTTAATCCAATTTTGCTTATTTTAATTCATTTTCACTGTAAAAAGGAAAGTACTAAAACAGTACCAATTTTAGGTATCAAAATAGAACTAAATGACAATTTAGTACCTGAAGTAGGTATTAAATTAATACCTTTCTTTTTACAGTGTTGATGGTATTAAAATAAGCAAAATTGGATTAAAATAATAGGCGTTGCAGCTTATTTTAATACCTTATGATTTTCTGTGTAAAAGATTTCTTTGATTCAAAGAAATCAATTTCTTTGATTAATACACTGAAAAAAAAATTTATTTGATTCAAATACCGGTGTATTTGGTTATTATCAAATAAATATTTACTTGAATCAAATATTTCTTATTTGAATCAAATAAATTGTATTTGCTTCAAATACTGAAATATTTGATTCAAATACTATATATATATATATATAGTATTTGAATCAAAGAAATACACTAAAAAAAAAAAATTTATTTGATTCAAATACACCGGTATTTGAATTAAATAAATTTTTTTTTTTTTAGTGTATTTCTTTGATACAAAGAAAATTTATTTGTTTCAAACGAATTAGTTTTGATTAAAAAAAAAATAATCTTCGTTTCAAAGAAATTTTTTATTTAGACGGAAAAAAAATCTTTATCCGGAACAGCTATATGTTTCTTTAGAATAGCCAAAATTTTCATTGTTTTAGTGAACATATCGCTGGTTTCTTTAAATCAAAGAAATCTTTTCTCTGGCTGATGGAAATTATGATTTTTTTTTAAAATTTAACGTCGTCAAAAGCAAGGGAAGAATCTAAAAAATTTAAATTAAATCTTCCATATTGTATATTTACGTTATTTTTTACTATATTTTTAAAATAATGAAGAAAAATCGAACAAATATACATAAAATTATTTTTTATCCTTTAGTAGGAGAGAGAAAAAAACCTATTTCATAAGTATACAGGAAAAAAAATCTTTATTTGGAACAGATATATATATATATATTTCTCTAGAATTGCGAAAACTTTCGCTGTTTTAGTGAAACATATCGTTGTTCCAGTGAAACTTATCGCTGTTCTAGGTGAACATTTTTTTCCGCATATATTCGGCTTCTGACGACAAATAAAATGCGGTTATAGGTTATGTTTGTCCATCTAACCAAAAAAAAACCCCCTTTTTTCCACTCTCTTTAACCCCCCCCCCCCCCCCCACAACTTTCCTCGTGACTTTTCTCGCTATACACTCTCACACCATTTTCTCTCCTTTTACACGCCCTTCCTCTTCCTTCTAGTAGTATAGTTCTATATCTAGTTGAGAGTGGGTCGCGAGACTCACGGCTCTCTCAGAATAACGAGTCTCATTAATCCAATTAACCAGTAAATAATGGGATAGCATTTTCGTATTTACGAGAGAATACTGCCGGCCCTAATGGAGTTTTGAGCTGACTATCAATATATTCTTGCCTGCCGGGCGAACAAAGTACGGGTCACTCTCGCACTTAGTTACCAAGCACACTGTGTTTTTGGGGGAGGATGGCTTCAGGGGGTTTGAAGATATAAATTTAACCTTTCTTTCTCGCCCAGGACAATCAAATTTCCCAAAAATTTCGTGGAGAAAAGTCCTCTGCCATTTGTCAATGTTGTATATACATACATTTTTCTTAATTTTCTGATTTAATTCTATTATTTAATAATTAATTCAAAATTTAATTATATTATTAACCTAAATTTTTAGGTTATAGTAGTTTAGTTATAAGAAGAAGAAAAGACGAAAAATTTTAACACAATTTTAAGGTTATGTTTGCCATAAGAATTTTAACACAATTTTAAGGTTATGTTTGCCATAAGAATTTTAACATTATTTTAAGGTTATGTTTTCCTTATGATCTTTAGTATACTGCCGTATGAAACAAAAACTTAGTTATAACTCAGTTTGTCGTTAAGGTAGATTTTCGCCTATCCTGTTGAGTGATTGTCGCCCATAACGACAAACTGAGTTAACTCAGTTTTTGTTTCGTAAGGCAGTATAATTCTGAGGTTATGTTATCCCTTAAAAAGCTAGAGTCATAAAATTATAGTTATGCGTATTTGAGTTAGTCTAAAATTTAAGGTTATGTTTACCGTTTAAAAGCCAAAAACGTTAAATAATTGCGGTCATGTGTAACCCTTGAGATAGCATACATTTTTAGGTTATGTTCTCCATAAGGGTTTTTGTCATAATTTTGAGGTTATGTTTGCCACATGATCTTTGGCATAATACTAAAGTTACGCTCCCTTTTTAAAATCTAGAGTTTAGGTAAATTTTTGAGGTTGTTTTCCACATGATCATTGGCATAATTTTGAGGTTATATTTGCCCTTTAAATGCTAAAATTATACTTAAGAATTATGCTTTTATGTACTCTTTGATTTAGAATAAATTTTTAGCTTACGTTAGCTATAAAATTTTTGGTACAATTTTGAGGTTATGTTTGACATAACCCAGATAGCAGGTAAGCTTGCAGCATCATTGCGGCAAGCTTGCCGCGCAATATTGCCAACCTTGCATGGCAAGTTTGCCGCAAGATTGCAACAAGCTTCAAATGTCCCACCTAATCCAAGCTTGCATGGTAAGCTTCTCAAAAGATTGCAGTGTAAGGTTGTTGCAAGATTGCACAGTAAGATTATTGCAAGATTGCTCAGTAAGCTTGCACGGTAAGCTTGTCGCAAGGTTGGTGCAAGGTAGCCAAATAACCTTGCCCAATCAGCAGAGAAGTTTGCATTGAAAATGAGGACTATGCGCACTTGCAATCATAAGCACTTACGGCTGGGCGGTAAATTTTTTTGACCTCCCAGAAACTGGTGCTCAATGTATGTACAAAAATTAATTTCCTCCCCCCCAAAAATTTTTTGTTATATTCTGCAAGCTTGCGCAAAGCTTGCCATAAGGTTGCTGCAACCTTCTGTGCTGATTGGCAAGGTTATTTGGCAACCTTGCAGCAATCTTGCGACAAGCTTACCATGCAAGCTTACGGAGCAATCTTGCGATAATCTTACTGTGCAATCTTGCAGTAACTTTACACTGCAATCTTTAGGCAAGCTTATCATGTAAGCTTGGGTTCGGTGGGACATTTGAAGCTTGCAGCAAACTTGCAATGCAAGGTTGGCAATATTGCGCGGCAAGCTTACGTGCTAACTGGGAACCTAAGTCATCTGAGAATTATAATTATGTGTTTTCCCTCGAGGTAGTCTAAATTTTTAGGTTATGTTCGACATTATATTTTCGGTATAATTATGATGTTATATTTGCTCTTTAAAAATTGATATCTAAAAATTATAGCTGTGTACCCCTTTGAATTAGTCTAAATTTTTTAGGTTATGTTTACCACATAATCTTTTAAAACAAATATTCGATTTAAAAAAAAAAAAAAAATGGTACATTAATTTATTTTACTAACAACAAATACAACTATACCCAGGCTTCCAAAACCAACAGATATAAAATAAAAGAATGTATGAAATTAAATTTTCATTTTCATATTTTGATGATGAGTATTCGCCGCTTTTGTCTAAATATATTGTCTTCTTTATTGTTAACGGTGTAGTATTTTTATCAGCGTGCTTCTTTTGAAGTTGAATAATTAATAATTGATTTTCCATTGGTTGAAAATAACATTCCGGTATATACAATTCATATTGTGGTCCATTTATCCAATATTTTCCAATACTATATTCATTTAGAAATACATATCCCTTTGCCGAATGATGATTCATATTTAAATATGTATGAAGTGTTGAATGCATAATATTATTTGGTATTTGAAATTTTGCCAGGAGAAAGGAATTTTCTTTATTCAATGATAATGATGGTTTTAAATTTTTTACAATTTCTTGTAAATATTTAACATTATCTAAATTTAGTGGATATTGAATCCAATTTTTTAGTATTTTATCATTTAAATAAACATTATTTATACCCTTTGGTTCACCAATTACATTTTGTGCCAAATAACCTGTATTTTCAACTAATATTTGAATAATTTGATATTTAAAATCCATGGAAATTTTTAGGGAATTATAATTTTTGTCTAAAATTCCAAGTAGATTGCCATTAAAATATATATAGCCTCTGTCGTGAATTTCTTTTGAATATAAAATAATTTCTTTTTCCATTTTAAAAGGAATTTTTGTTTCATATAAAACTAATCCATTTGTTATATTTAATTTAGCAAATGTCATTGGATATTTTGATTCGATGCCAATTATTTTTAGATTATTTCGAAAATTTGAGTCAAGTAATGAACCAAGGGATGTAAAATTTATTTGACCTGATATATCAACAGTTCCTTGTTTATTTTCTTTTGTATTGTCATTTATTATTATTTCACTATTCTGATGAAATATTGATTGTAATTTATAAAATTTTTCAGTTACATCACCTGATTCACTGATGATACCATCATAATCGTAAGACGTTGTTAAACCCATTTTATTAAAATTACTTTTTCCCGCACGTTCAAAATTAGTACCACCGGCGAACATATAAATTATTATTGACGCATCACTTTTAATAATGTCATTAATTGTTTTTATTATTTTTTTCGTTCCAAATGTAAATCTTTCACTATTCCAATTCCATGTTAAACCTGTTTTAATTTCAATGAGTTTCGGTGAATTTGGCGCAATTTTTTTAAGTGGTGAATACAATTTTATTAATGATTGTTTAAATATTTTATAATATTCCCAGGGATTTATACGAAATGCTGTGATTGTATTTTTTAATTTACCACATTTAAGATTTTTCAAATTATTTTCATCCATTGTAAACATTATTGTTTTTACATTCAAATATTGTTGATAGATTTCATGTAGCCAATCTGTTGTCATACATGGCGTTGTTTCGCCTAAATCACTGTCAATTTGTACCATTAATATTGGTCCTCCATTTGTGATCATCATTTTTGAAAGTTTTGGAAGTAAGTGAGATAGCCATCTTTCAGCGTAAAGTCGATATTCTGGACTTGATCTTTGAATCCATGGATTATCTTTGAGTTCGTTTGTGGTTAAGAGCCATCCTGGAATTCCTCCAAGGCTTCGATCAACTCCTGTATATATATGTGGATAATGAGAAAAGTTTAGTGAGTTTGGAATTTTTTTTTTTTTTTTGAAATAATTAAAATTCTTTCAATTTTTTTTGAACATTCATAATTTTTTAACTTGACACAAAAATATTTTTAATTTTTCCTGATTTACAGTCAAAATTAAATTTTTTTTTTCCTGACTCTAATAAAAAAATATTTCAACAAGCCTCAGATTGCACGCGAATTTCTGATGTATTTTGATGCGCTGAATACACGAATTTGAAGTCCGATTTGCTCCATCGCGTCAGAATTTTTTTTCTAACCTCAAAAAACATGTCTAATCAAACAAGTAACTCAAAATTTTTATGAATTTAGGTTCTAATGGTCGCTGATTACGAATTTGACCTCAGATTTTCAAAATTCAAAATGGCGGATGCAATATGGCGGATATGGTTTTAAAAAAATATTAGATTTTCATGGAAATCAGTATATCTAGGGGTTTTTGGGGTCGCTGATAACGAAATCGATGTCAGATTTTAAAAATTCCAAATAGCTGACTCAATACTTTTTTTTGTCTTCCATATTGTATCCGCCATTTTGAATTTTTAAAATCTGACATCAGATTCGTTATCAGCGACCGCAAAAATCCCTAGATACTGATTTCCATGAAAATCTAATAATTTTTTTAAAACCTTGTCCGCCATAGTGCATCCGCCATTTTGAATTTTGAAAATCTGAGATCAAATTCGTAATCAGTGACCCCAAAATCCCGAGAACTCAAGCCCACAAAAATTTTCAGTTACTTCTTTGATTGGACATGTTTTTTGAGGTTAGAAAAAAATTCTGACGTGATGAAGTAAATCGGACTTCAAATTCGTGTTTAGCGCATTAAAATAAGTCAGTAAATCATATTCCGGTTTGTCTTAAAATTTTTTTTATACAATTTTTAAAAAATTTCAATAATTCAAGTTTAAAATTGAAAATTTCAAAAATCGACAATTCAATTTTTAAAATATATTTAAATTGAAAATTCTCTAAAATTTTCTATAATTTAATTATTTCTAAAATTTTAATTTAAAATTCAATTGAAAATTTTTGTAGCAAATTTTTATCTCTTATAATTCTTTGTTTAAATAATTATTTCAACAGTTTTTATCCAATTTTTCAAAAATTCAATTATTTAAATCGTTTTTCATTAAATGTTTATATTTACAATAAAATTATAATTTTTGAAATCTCCAAAAAAAAAAAAAAAAATTATTTCTAAACATCTTAACTGGTTACTCCATCAAAATTCAATTATTCTAATTTATAAAAGCTTCAATTGAAAATCTGAAATTTAATTAATTCTAAAAATTCTTAATGAAACTCTTCCAAATTCAATTATTTTTAAAATTTTAATTAAAAATCTTCTGAAATTCAGTTATCAAATTGAATTTTCGATTTTTGAAATTAAATTAATTTATTTTTCAATAATGTTTTAATCAAATTCAACGAAAATTTAATTGTTTAAAACATTTTCCGAAATTCTGAATTCGTATAATGTGCATAAATCGGACTTACAAAAATCCTTTTTTTTTAAAGTACCACTAAATTATTTTTCAAAATTTGTTCTGTTTTAATTTCTCAAAAATTTATTTTGAATGTCAATTTGGAAGTTAATTTATAATTTTGTTTTCATAATCAGCAAAATTTATTTAATTAAATTTTTTTTTTTTTTTTTATTCAATTATTTATATACAAAATTATATGACATACCAATGTATGGTCCTGCACGAACAATGACAAAGAGATCTAACCTATGTGCCAATTCAATAAATCGAGTAAAGTTTGCATTGCCCTTCCAATTGTAACTTTTGGGGATTGGTTCATGCATGGCCCATTCAACGGCAGTTGACACTGTGTTGAGGCCCGCTCTCTGCAACTTTCTCAATCGATCTTCCCATTCACATGCCGCAATTCGAAAATAGTGAATCTCACCGGCGTAAATGTTAAACTTTTCTCCATTTAAATGAAAATTCCCCTCTATTACAGTGAAAATTTCATCAATATTTCTTTTATTATTCACATTTTCAATGGTGAATGCAAAAAAAAATAATGAAAATAAAATAATAATTTGTGACATTTTGCTGAAAATTTTACATCACTAACTTTTTTATTATTCATTAATAGGTTAATTAAAAGAAAAAAAAAGAAAAACAAATGCTATGCTCTGAGGAAAAATTGTATATTTTGATTCATTTTCTTCATGTTTTCACAGAAAATTAAAAGGCATTAAAATAAGCTGCAACGCTTATTATTTTAATCCAATTTTGCTTATTTTAATCCATTTTGGTATTAAAATAAGCAAAATTGGATTAAAATAATAAGCGTTGCAGCTTATTTTAATGCCTTTTAATTTTCTGTGTTTATAATTCTTGAATTTTTGAAATTTTTTTTTATAGAAACTTTTTTTTTTGGGCAAAATGTCTTGCATTTTAAAATAATATTCTCACTTTCTTTTCGTTTTATATATGTATATAAAAAAAAAAAAGAAACAAGTTTCTTTTTGACCTGTTTTTGAAAAATCAACCATATATGGATGAATTGAGAGTATTATATATAGAGATTGAAAAAGTATTTTATGCTTTTAAATACGTGCACTACATATTTGAATGCTATATACCTACGCTTCAACATTGTGTAATTAATTCTTGTCGCGCGCGCAGAAGCTAATTAATATTTACGCGCTACTCGTGACAAACGAACCCTTATATTGCTCCGACTTCTCTCTTGTTTCACCCTCTTATACCTTTAATTAATTCAATTTCTTTGACAGAAACTTGCTATATGGAGATTTTCAGCTTAGTAGAGTTAGCACTTTCCTCTTTTAGTGCTTTGGCACAATATTCCTAGAGAGAAATTTCAATTTAGAATATATATATCGTATATATATATATACAATTTTGTGAATGATTTCTTGTTTTTAATCAAAGAAAGAAAATTAGAAAGCGTAGGTCGATTATTGTCGATTCGCCAATAAAAAAAAAAAGGAAGCTCGAATGTGTGTAAAAAAATTCAAGGCACGTTTTTCTTCAAGAGAAAGAGATAGCGATACGAATATCTATTTGTGTCGCGAACCAATAGAAATTACTGCAGTCGCGCGTTCGGAAGCCCTCTGCTCATGATTTGCATATTCGTTTGAAACAATATCCTCTAGTCAGCGAGCTGGTAGGTCGTTTTAACTGTGGGGAAGGAAAATAGAAGGGGGGAGGGAACTTTCTCGAGGTGGCTGGATTGCCACTACGGGGGGGGGGGGGAGGGAAAACTGCGAGCGAGTAAGGGTGTTCGACTGTTTCAATTAAAATAAGCATACGCTACCGGTTTGCCACTACCACCATCTAACATTCCTCGAGCTCAAGGAAAAAAAAAAACCTCCCCCCCACACTTTTCCTCCTTCTTCTTCTTCTACAGATATTACCTAACGCCAGCACGACCTGAATGCGAAAACGGTCATAAAAAAGACTTGATCTTTGTTTTTCTCTTCTATTTTTATTGATCTTGGGTTATATACGCATTTTAAATGTTATCTTGTATGTGCGTCTATCAACCTTCTTTAAAAGTATCAAATTGATAGCAGAAATATCTAATTTGATATTTTTGGTAGTGAAAAAAATATTTACCTGAAATAGCGAAAGATTTCACTAGAATAGCGAAACATTTAACTGAAACAAGTAAAAGTTTTGCTAAGTACTGTATAGTAAAATGATTCGCTGTTTCAGGTAAATCTTTTTTTGCCATCAATTTGATACTTTTAAATTAGTGTGGAATAAAAAATTTCAAAAAAAGCAAAAAACCTCTAACGTTTAAAAAAGAAGAAACGAAGATAATATTTTCTGACACCCCCTTCTTAGGGGGTGTATATATATATATATATATAGATATACACAAAGATCCTTTAAATGGGAAATCGAAACGTTTGGGAGATAACTTTCCTCCTGGTGAGAATGTATTCAAAATGGCGTCAGAGCGGTGTATTATGGGTGGAAAAGAAGAGATGGCGGGTAACCCCTACGATGATACGAAACATATTCCACCCTTAAGGACTCCAAAAAGAGGGTGGGTACACAACCCTCCGCGACCATAAAATAAAATTCATCGTCTTCTTGGTATATATATATATATATATATATATATATGTATATGTACCAATATCTCTGGCTCGAAGACGAAAAAGAGAGAGAGAGAGAGAAAGGCCTATCAGAGAGAAGAATTTTTCTAATCCAACCCAAAGCAGACGAAATCTAACCTTTATCATGTCATGGCTAAAGGGATGGCTTGTCTGTTTCAGATAACAAGCCTCCTTTATTCTGACGTGTACGTATTGATTTTCCCCATTTGTGATCTCACAAGTGTGTGTATTTTTATATTATAAAACGACTTTCAGTGAATTTACTGAAGTCATTAAAATTATTATTTTTGTAAACCAAAATTTGATCTATTTTTAGGACCTTGGAAAAATCAATATTCTGAAATTTAGAATATATATATGTGTCCTGACATGGTGAAAGGGACCTTACGATAAACTAATTTTTAGGTTATGTTTATAGTAATAGTTTTAATTAAACGTTTATATTTAATTATATAAAACCAAAAACAGTTTTTATTTAACATTTTTGATGTAACAGACTTAAATATCGCAGTGATTTGTATTAAGAGGAGTATATATTCAATCTAAAAATCAAAAACATAACCTAAAATTTTGTTTACCGTATTAGTAACACTATACCCGCAAGTGCCATATGTCGATTTTTTTTTAAACTTGGCATACTACTAAAACATTGAAAAATATTCACAATGTATTTTTTTATTTTTCTCCGTTTTGAGTTTTAAGGGTAGAAAACACCCTTTTAAAATTTAAGGGATGAAATCAGTATCTCTGAAAAAACTGGTTATAGATTTTGATGAAACTTGTAGTGGGGTCTTTTTGGGGTCGCTGCGATTACGAATGTGAAGTCAGATTTTCATAATTCAAAATGGCGTATCCAATTCAAGCAAATCCGATTGATTTTCAATTTTAATGGCCGCCATATTGGATTCGCCATTTTGAATTTTGAAAATCTGACTTCACATTCGTAATCGCAGCGACCCCAAAAAGTCCCCACTAACAAGTTTCTTTTCTGAGATACTGATATAATTCCTTAAATTTTAAAAAGGTGTTTTCTACCCTTAAAACTCAAAACGGGAAAAAAAGTACATGTCAAATATTTTTCTATGTTTTAGTGTAGTATACCAAGTATAAAAAAAATTGCATGGAAAAAAATCTTTATCTGGAACAGCGATATGTTTCTCTAAAATAGCGAAAACTTTCGTTGTATTAGTGAAACATATCGCTGTTCCAAGTGAAGATTTTGTTTTGTGCGGCGTATGGCACTTGGGTAGTGTTACTTGTAAGTACCAAGAATATATTTTAATTTTAACAATATTATACTAAATTTAAGTATACAAAATATTCTAACATCCCAAGTATATATAAATATTTTTTCCGGTGATATGAATTGAAAATACACCATCCATTTATTCCGAAAAATAATCCAACACGATAAGAATCGGAACTATCACCAAAACGAAACATATAGCGTAGCTATTGTTATATGCCTCTTCAGAGCTTTGTTGCGAAGGGTCCTAGAGGTGGGAGTGGGATTAAAGATTATTTACGTGATGTAGATAAAGTTTTTTTTTTTATCTCCTAGTAGCAATCAATCTTTGAATAAAAAAAAGGGGTTTTATATACCAAACATTTTCACGGTAGGGCAAGCGAGAAATGCTACCATGTCACGATGTGTTCATTTGTCTAGAAGTTGTGCGCGCAACCCCTATTTTATATATATATATATATATATATATATACACATAAGATGACTGCAGATGTTTATATGAATCTGCACGAGTTATTGTCATTTTTCTGGCATTTGCACCCTGTTAAAGTTAGTTGTGCGTATAATAATCGTTTTAACTGTGAGTGATGGAAAATTGATGAATGACGATGAGAAATCAGATTTTGATAATTACCTTATATGAATACAAATTGGTAGAAAAACTGTGTCGCGATTACTGGTCATTTACATTGATTAAGAAAGATATTAACTTTCAAGTTTATATAGTAACTAAATTTTTTTTTCTAAAAAAAAAATCCAAAAGTACCCTAAAAAAGCGATTTTAAATTTTCAAGGTCAAATTTCTTAGAATCCTAGAGTAATAACACTGAAAAAACAATATTCTAGTTTTAAGAATGCGTACACTTAAATAGGAGCCACGAATATTCCCCACTTAAATTAAGTGGAAAATATTCTTACAATAAGAATATATGTATTACACTGAAAAATAAAAATTATTTGACTCAAATACTCGATTACTTGACTATTATCAAATAAATATTTATTTGTATCAAATAATTATATTATTCGAGACAATTAAATTGTATGTGTCTTAAATACGGAAATTATTGGTTCAAACACAATTTATTTAATTCAAATAAAAATTATGTGGTTTAAGTAAATATCTATTTTGATAATAGTCAAGTTATCAAGTATTTGAATCAACTAAATTTTTTTTTCAGTGTACTTATTGTAAGACAATTTTTCCTTTACTTTAAGTAGGGACCCGAGGCGAAATTTGAATCCTCTTTAGCTTCCCTTAGAACCTAAATAGGCCCTCTTTACGATCTTGTAGACTCCCGTAGGCCCTCCTTTGAATCCAAACGTGGAAGAAAGGTAAATTTGCGACTGGTTGAGGAAGCTAAAGAGGGTCTAGTTCGATTAAAAAAGTACAAAAAAATGCAAAAAAAAACTCTTTTAATTATTTTGATTAAAGCAAAATGAATTTTTTCTTCACACAATATTTCTTTAATTACCCTTTAAAAACTGGAATTAACATATTTTGAAGCGTTTTAAAAAAATTAATAGAATTAGAGCAATTTCAAAATTTTCAATATTTTAATCAATTTTTAGACCCTACTTTAAATCCAAACGTGGAAGAAAGGGAAATTTGCGACTAGTTGAGGAAGCTAAAGAGGGTCTGTTTAACTCTACTTTACTCCTTGTAAATTAGGGCTTAAATTTCGCCTCGGGAATATTCGTGGCTCCTATTTAAGTACGCGCATTCTTAAAATTA